CCCCCCCGCCGCTTCTGCTCTCTCTCCCTGTCAAATAAATAACTAAAATTTTTCTAAAAAAAAATTTTTTTAAGAGCCTGTCACACAAGAAGTAGAGTGTTGGAGGAAATCACGCAAGAGGATGTGATCGCAGGTTAACCTGTGAGCCAGCCCTGGGCAATTGGAGGCTCCTCATTCCCTCCCATATCCTTGGAATGTAAGTTCTGTCCACTGTTCCCACAGTGGGAGCCATTTTCAAGGACACAGCCTTGAGAGAGCGAGGTTTCGTTGAGACCATCTGGACGGCATACGTGCCTGAATCCACTTAAGGCTCTACATAACTTTGAAGATTCTGGCAGGCAGATTCAGAGATCCATTCATCTTGTGGCTGCCCAAAGCAAGGCTCATAAATAAGTTCCCATGCTTATTAAATCTGCCACCTACTAATCTGGGGTGGTCGGCCTCTTTCTTCTGTCTTTCATTGCCCTCAGTGTGGGGGCCAATTTCAGATTTCACTGGGGAAAGTCATGAGGTTACAACCAACAGTTAGGGTAGAAGGCAAGGGAGGTTTTTTGTTTTTTTCCCCCATGAACTTCAAGTATTTATTTAGAAGATCCTGGTTCATACCTGGAATATTTTTGGAGCTCTTATTTACTGCTGCTAAATAAGAATAATGCCTTATTCAATAGAGTGCACAGCAGGGTGCAAGGTACTTTCAGGAATAGTATCTCATTTGATTTTTGCAATCACCTTTAATTTAGAATGTGGTAACCATTGCTTTCAGGATCAGAAAGACTTGAACATGTTCATAGTCTGAGAGGAAAGAATGAGTAGAAAGGGTTTAGTGGATTTTGATTGATGAAATCTGAGTTGAAGGGGATGAGCTCATAAAAGGAGCGAAGATGAGATTAAAAAAACAAGGGATAGAAGCATAACATATTTATAACCTCCATATATCTTTTTTATGTAAAGTACAAGAAGCCAGACACAAAGAGTCACATATTTATGTAAAATGTCCAGAATCAGTAAATCCAAGGAGACAGAAAGACTGGGTTGCCAGTGGCTGGGAAGGGGAAGGGAGAATGTTGCCTAATGGGAACCTGGTATCTTTTAGGGGTGATGGAAATATTTTGGAACTAGATAGAGGTGGTGGTTGCACAGCATAACGAATATACTAAATGCTGCTGAACTTTTATTTATCTTACAAATTGTATTATTTTTAATTTTTTTTTTTAGATTTTATTTGTAAGTAATCTCTACACCCAACAAGGGGCTTGAACTCACAACCCTGAGATCAAGAGTCACATGCTGTACTGACAGGGCCAGCCAGGCACCCCTATTCACTTTTAAATGGTTAATTTTATGTGAATTTCACCTCGATAAATTATTTTTAAGGAGTGGGGGCTAACAAGCAGGTCCCAATTACCTATCAAAAAAAAAAAAAGGTCCCAGGGCAGGGAGGATCAAAGGTTCCCCACTGCCATCCACCCCCTTACACCAAGAGTCTAAATGCAGGGAACCTGATCCTGTGCTTCCCGGTCTTCATTTCCTGAGCGTACCCACCCGCTGCACCCCTCCCCACCCCATGCCCTTCTCTGTGCTGAGCATACCTCCCAGACCTATGCTTCTCTCTCTTTCTTTCTCTCTCTCTCTCTCTCTCACACGCACACTCACTCACTCACTCACTCACTCACTCACTGCCCAGGCCTGAGGCCAGCGCAGGGCGGAGCCCCAGGGTAGGTCTGGGCCAGATCAGAGGGTGCAGGCAGCTGTGGGCAGAGCCCTTAGGCAGGGTTCCTGAGCACAGAAGTAGGCGGCAGGCCCAGGCCCCATCCCTGGGGAGAAGACGGCCGGGAAGGGAGGAGTGGTCAGTCCTCCTGAAGCAGCCAGAGGCCGGGGGAGGGCTGGAAGGGGTGTTATATTCGATGGATGGGTGAAGCTAGGCCAGCGGGCTGGGGGGACGGGGCAGGACAAGGGGTGGGGCCATAGCCCACCCTGAAAGAGGCATGGGGGCCAGGCTGCAGCCTTCCCCAGCCTGGAGGGGAGCGCCCAGAGCACTGCTGAGAGGCAGGGCCCATGACCTTCACTGTCTTTGGGGGAATACTGATCATGGCGGTGGTCGGTAGTGGAAATGCGGCTGCCGAGTTCGGAACACTGTTCTGAGCCAGTGCTCCTGCCCAGAGCAAGGGTCCGGGGATGAACGCCATCTAGTAGATATAACCTGGATAAAGCTTTTCTTTTTTTTTTTTTTTTAAGATTTTATGTATTTATTTGACAGAGAGAGACACAGCGAGAGAGGGAATACAAGCAGGGGGAGTAGGAGAGGGAGAAGCAGGCTTCCTGTGGAGCAGGGAGCCGGATGCGGGGCTCGATCCCAGGATCCCGGGACCATGACCTGAGGGGAAGGCAGAGGCTTAATGACTGAGCCACCCAGGTGCTCCCCCTGGATAAAGCTTTTAATAAAACAAAACTATTCTGAATTATATTAGGTACAAAAGGAATCCTGTCCTCACCTATGAACTCTATCCCACCCCTGAGGCCTTAATATTGACAACCAAAAAGCCCTATTTTGTGGGTGCCTGGGTGGCTCAGTCCGTTAAGCATCTGACTCTTGATTTCCACTCAGATCATGATTTCAGGGTTGTGAGATCGAGCCCCACATCAGGCTCTGCCCTGGGAGTCGAACCTGCTTAAGATTTTCTCTCTCCCTCTTCCTCTGCCCCTTCCTCCCGCACTCTCTCTCTCTCTAAAACAAACAAACAAAGAGCCCTATTTTGTTTTACTCTTCTGTGATTTTTTTAAAAACTGATTTTTGCCAACCGTATTCAACTACGGTGGTATAGAGCATTTTGAGACTCATTTTGAGATTTTGCCAGGCATGTGGAAGGACAGCAGGACAAGACAACCAAGGTAAAACGGCGATCCAGGTTCTTAACTACATAATCCAGACTGTAAAGAACTGAATGAGAACAGCCGAGTACTACTAGGTCAGAAGTAAATTGAGGTATCAAATCACAAGTTCCCTATGAGGTTGCATTGAAGCTGGGGAAGGGCAGTATGAAACAGCTAGAACAGAAAAAGAGTTAGAGAAAGGGGTTTGCAGTTTGAGATTTCCGGTGTGAAATACCCCATATAACAGGGTCAGATGTTGGCCATAAGTGGGTGAAGGTCAGTGAGTTTCAAGAAGGTTCAGAAACTATAAGGTTTAGGTGTTACATGGTTCATCCACATGAAAGGTGAAAATCACACCAATGTCAAAATCTGATGAGATCTGGGTAGAGATCAGAGCAGTGGTAGATAAGGATCTATACTTTATTGATGACTTTCCACACTCCCACTCAGGCTCCAACTTCCTGTCTCTTGTCCTTATGTCGATTGGTGTCATCTTCTTGCCTTCACTTCCTTCCTTATCCATGGCTCACGTGTCTGTTCCCTCTGGCAAAAAACCTAAATAACCCTGCTTCTTTCAGTCACACCCACCAGACAGAAACCACCCCTCCAGGAGCATGATCAGGTTTGTAGAGAAAAGTCAAAAGGGGCTGGTTAGAGATATACTGACAGATTGCAGGACGCACCAAACCCATTAGATTCTACATTCTCTGGACATTTCCACAAAGGCTAGTCATTTCTTCATTGTTTTTTCTTAAATAAAGTCAATGAATGTACGTTATATATAAAAACTTCAAATCCATAGTAGGGTAAAAATAGAATGTTTAGAAACTCCTTTACACTCCCCTCATCCAGTTTTACTCCATAGAATTAACAATTGTTCATATTTTCTTGTTTATCCTTCCAAAACTCCTCTATACATGAGAATGGTGTCATACAAAATATTTCACAAGACAGTCCATGTATTTAACATATATCAAAATATGTTAGGGACGCCTGGGTGGCTCAGTCAGTTAAGCATCTGCCTTCGGCTCAGGTCATGATCTCAGGGTCCTAGGATTGAGCCCCACATCGGGCTCCCTGCTCCACGGGGAGTCTGCTTCTCCCTCTCCCTCTGTCTGCCACTCCCCCTGCTTGTGCTCTCTCTCTCTTTCTGACAAATAAATAAATAAAATCTTTAAAAAATATGTTAAATCTGGAAAACAATTTCCACTGAAGAACCAGGGGATCTTCCTAAAACACATTTAAAAATTTCAAAGAGGTGAAGAGGTAAAGTTATGGAGATGGAGAAGGCACAAGAAATTTGAAATACTCTTACATTGGAATTTTAATAGAGAGCATTAGGAGTATATAAGCACTACATATAAAACACAAATTGATACAGCCTAGAATATTTCCCAGGTTATAACTGAAAGACAGCATTTGCAGCTGAAGATGCAAGCACAAATTGAGGCTTAGTGGGGCACCTGGGTGGCTCAGTCGGTTAAACGTCTGCCTTCGGCTCAGGTCATGATCCTGGGGTCCTGGGACTGAGCCCTATCTCAGGCTCCCTGCTCAGGATTCTGCTTCTCCCTCTTCATCTGCCCCTTCCCCTGCACATGCTCTCGCTCTCTCTCTTAAATAAATAAAATCTTTTTTTTTTTAAGATTTTATTTATTTGAGAGAGAGAGAGAGAGAATGAGAGAGAGAGCATGAGGGGGGAAGGGTCAGAGGGAGAAGCAGAGTCCCCGCCGAGCAGGGATCCTGATGTGGGACTCGATCCCGGGACTCCAGGATCATGACCCGAGCCGAAGGCAGTCGCTTAACCAACTGAGCCACCCAGGCGCCCCTAAATAAATAAAATCTTAAAAAAAAATTTTTTTTAAAGATTATTTGACAGAGACACAGCGAGAGAGGGAACACAAGCAAGGGGAGCGGGAGAGGGAGAAGCAGGCTTCCCACGGAGCGGGGAGCCCGATGCGGGGCTCGATCCCAGGACCCTGGAATCACGACCTGAGTTGAAGGCAGATGCTTAACGATGGAGCCACCCAGGCTCCCCAGTAAATAAAATCTTAAAAAAAATTAAGGCTTAGACATTTAGGAACTGGTACTTATTGTTTTTATTATTATTATTATTATTATTATTATTATTATTATTTGCAAGAAGTAGGATTTATTGGCTGGCGTGAATAAGGAGGAGGCAGTGCCGAGGTTCGCATGAGCGCAGAGCCCACCATCTGTCCAGCGGGGGCAACGATTAGGGACGTTTTTGACCCACAGCCATCTGGGATCAGCTGCTTTTCAGCCACTATGTCTTCAAATTCATCCGCATTAAACTTAGTAAAGCCCCACTTCTTAGAAATGTGGATCTTCTGGCGGCCAGGGAACTTGACCTTGGCCCTGTGTAGGGCCTCAATCACATACTCCTTGTTCTGCAGCTTCCTACAGATGGAGGTGATGACTTGGCCAATGTGGACCATGGCCACTGTGCCCTGGGGCTTTCCAAAGGCACCCTGCATACCTGTCTGGAGCCAGTCAGCCCCAGCACAGGACAACATCTTGTTGATATGGATGCCGTGGAAGGGGTAGAGCCATACTTGGATGTGAAAAATATCTTTGCCACAGTTTTTCACCATGTACTTGTTGGCACAAACTCGGGCAGTTTCCGTGGCTTCAGAGGAAGGCTGCTCATATTCACCTGACACCATGTGGCCACATGGTGGGAACTCATCCACTTTTGCCTTCTTCTGCCCCAGGTCAAAGATGTGGATCTTGGCGTCAGGGGCACCTCTGCAGAAGGGAGACTTTGGATACAACTTGTTCTTACATACTGGTAACACCTGGTGGGGACGTGGCCCATGGAGACACCAGGATCTTCAGTGGCAGGAAGGAAAAGAGAAGAACTGGTACCATTTGATAAAATCACATTATTTCTAAATATTTTATTTATTTATTTGAGAGAGAGCAAGAGAGCACAAGAGAGCAGGGTGAGGGGAAGAGGGAGAAGCAGACTCCCCGCTGAGCAGGGATCCAGACTTGGGGCTTGATCCCAGGACCCTGGAGTCATGACCTGAGCTGAAGGCAGACACTTAAATGACTGAGCCGCCCAGGCACCCTCAAAATCACATTATTTCCCAGCAGTTCAGTTTCCTCACTTATGGTTAGAGTGATGATCGGGTGAGGTAATACACAAAAAATTGTATATAAATATACATAAATAATATATAAAAATTCTATATACAGTCTAGTACTTCTCAAAATGTTGATGTTCTTCATTCTTTCCATCAACATGAGGTTCTGCCAATAGGTAACACAGAAAAGACAAGCCTCACAAATATTCAGCATCTAAGGAACAAAAAACCCCAAAATTATTAATTCCATACTGCAATCAATAAACATCTAAGGGCTGTAGTAGTATATTTGGTAATATGACTACATGGTGAATGGTGTCATATATGTGTATGCACATGCATTTTTGTATGTTGAGCAGAATAACAAATAGGGCAGTCAGCGGTTCTTTGTATCACTGGCTGGAACATGAAAAGTTGTGTGGTTTTTTTGTTTTTTTAACATGTATTCTCACTTTATTAAATCTTACTATCAGCCCCTATAGCTACCACAAAGGCAGCAAATCCATATTTGAATTGTTTTAATAATGCACCAAAGGAAACACTGTTCGCAAAACCACCAATGCATCTCCAAGCTTCATGGCAGCCCCATGGATCCCTTAGGCCTCGGGCAGCCAACTTCTCCTGGACAGATTCTAATGGTTTTCCTTTTATCTTCCACTGTTTATAATCTGGAAGTTCAGGTTTAATATAACCATGTTCACATCCATGTCCATGGGCCATGTCTAATAGCAACCTGAGCTCTCAAGATGCTCAGTATTCAACCCTCCAGCCAGAGCCTAATGGAAATGGTGGAATGTGAAAAGTTTATGGGATATCCAAGAACTATGGGACACAATCTGTCTCTTACAGTCAATATGTTCCTTTTTTACTTCCTTACAACTTAGTGTTCTACATATAAAACATTCTTACCTCTTGGGTCTTTTCTTAGGTTTCTGCTTGTACATAGCTTTATTGTATTTCTTCCTCCTTTTACAAAACCATTGCTTTATCTGTAAAAAAACGAGGTGGGGGAGATGATGAATCAAGGAATAAGGATATTGGGGGTGCCTAGGTGTCTCAGTCGTTAAGCGTCTGCCTTTGGCTCAGGTAATGATCCCAGGGTCCTGGGATCAAGCCCCGCATCGGGCTCCCTGCTTGGCATCGGGCTCCCTGCTTGGCTGGGAGCCTGCTTCTCCCTCTCCCATGCCCCCTGCTTGTGTTCCCTCTCTTGCTGTGTCTCTCTCTGTCAAATAAATAAATAAAATCTTAAAAAAAAAAAAGGAATAAGGATATTGGTTTATATGGGTAATAGTACTACGCAGGTGACTCTGTTGGTAAAGAAATATGTTTCATACCTGTTTTGCTGTCATATTAAATTCAAATGCAAGTGATTGACTATCTCCTTTTGTGGGGCATTTATTTAACTTAAAGGTTGCCCAGAGAGTGTCCATGAGGGGTTTGCTGACTAATCTTTTCTGGGGATATTGTTCTTCATTTTTCTCTTCCTTTTCCTGTTCCTCTTCCAGTCTCTCTTCTACTTCCACTTCTTTTTCTTCTCCTTCTCTTTCTTTCCATTTTTTCTTTCCCCTTCTTTCATCTTCACTATGATTCCTCTTTGATTGCTCTGGATTTTGATCACAAAGCATAGCTGGTTCTTTCTGTATAGCAAAATCTGTGGGATAAAATCAAACTGCAGCTAAATTTGACTTTTAGATCATAGTCAACATTCTTCAGTGTGAGAATATATTTGATTTTCATAAAGTAGTAGTGTTGTACATTGTTGGAAAAAGAGAGGAAAGAAAAAGTAAGGTTATCAAAATCAATGAAGATTTTCATAAAAAGATCAGTTTATTTTTAAAGATTTTATTTATTTGAGAGAGTGAGTGAGAGAGAAAGAAAGAACAAGAGGGAGAGGTAGAGGCAGGCTCCCTGCTCCACAGGGAGCCCAACATAGGGCTCGATCTCAGGACCCCAAGATCATGACCCGAGCTGAAGGCAGACTCCCAACCCACTGAGCCACCCAGGCACCCCAAAAGATCAGTTTAAAAATAATTTACTTCTGGATTTAAATACAGACTGAGTAAGGAAAGGGGCTGTGTATTGAAATTAATATGTCTCCTTGTGATGTTATTCAAAAATAAGTTATCTTGCGGTGCCTGGGTAGCTTAGTCAGTTAAGCGTCTGCCTCTTGATTTTGGCTCAGGTCATGACCACAGGGTTGTGAGATCAAGCCCATGTTGAGACCACATCGGGCTCCATGCTCAGCACAGAGTCTGCTTGAGGTTCTCTCTCTCCCTCTCTCTCTGCCCCTCCCCCCTCTTGTACTCTATAAATTAAATAAATAAATAAATAAAATCTTAAAAAAAATAAGTTACCTTGAAAAAATTAAGTTATGAGTGACCTTACTTAAAGGACTATTCAGGCTTTTTATTTCCTCTCGAGAGAGTTTTGGTAAGATATACACTTTTTAGAAATTTGTTCATATGTTTCACTTTTCCCAGGATTGTTCTGGCATATGCCCATAAACTGACATTATTATTATTATTATTATTATTTTAAGCAAGCTTTACACTCAATGTGGGGCTTGAACTCATGACCCCAAGATCAAGAGTTGCATGTTCTACTGACTGAGCCAGCCAGGCACCCCCATAATTATTAATATTAATAAACTACTTTTTACTCTAAAGTACTCTGGTTTAAACTACATATGATCCCTCTACTTATACTACTAAAGAGATCAAATCAGTAATTTAAAATAACCAAGACAGGCACTTGGGTGGCTCAGTCGGTTAGGCATCTGACTCTTGGTTTCAGCTTAGGTCATGATCTCAGGGTTGTGAGATCCAGGCCTTTGTGAGGTTCCATGCTCAGCACGGAAGTCTGCTCAAGATTCTCTCTCCCTCTTCCTCCCCCTCTGCCCCTCCCCCCGTGCACTCTCTCTCTAAATAAATAAAATCTTTAGAAGCTCAAAGACCAAATAATATTATTGAAGGGTGCATAAATATGTGATAAAAACTATAAAACTAAGGCAATAATAAAATTCAGGAAGATGGTTGGAAAAACAGGATAGGATAGAGGAAGCATACAGATAAGTAGATGAAATGTATGTAATGCTATACTTATATTGGTAATGTTATGTTACTATGTTATTTAATATATAGTATATATTAATGTAGTTTTATATTTTTTAAAAGAAATACATTGTTTTTTGAGTTGGTTGGTTGGTCCTTGCATGTTCATGTGATTGATTTGCTTATAAATTAAATATATATCAAATATGTTTTTGCATATCTCAAATATTACATATAATTTTTTAAAAAAGTAATCTCTATATCCAACATGGGGCTCGAACTTATAACCCCAAGATCAAGAGTCACATGCTTTAGGGGCGCCTGGGTGGCTCAGTCGTTAAGCGTCTGCCTTTGGCTCGGGTCATGATCCCAGGGGCCTGGGATTGAGCCCCACGTTGAGCTCCCTGCTCGGTGGGAAGCCTGCTTCTCCCTCTCCCACTCCCCTGGTTTGTGTTCCCTCCCTCACTGTCTCTCTCTCTGTGTCAAATAAATAAATAAATTCTAAAAAAAAAAAGAGTCACATGCTTTACTGACTGAGCCAGCCAGGCACGCTGAGAAGTGTTCTTTTTTTAAACAAAATTTTGATTGCATGGCCAATATTTTAAAAAACTGAAAGAGTTGGGGCACTTGGCTGGCTCACTTGATAGAGCATGCAGCTCTTGATCTCAGGGTTGTGAATTCGAGCCTCATGTCAGGGGTAGAGATTACCTGGGTGGCTCAGTCAGTTAAGCAGCTGCCTTCAGCTCAGGTCATGATCCTGGGGTCCTGGAATCAAGCCCAGCGTTGGGGCCCTTGCTCAGCAAAGAGCCTGCTAATCTCTCTCCCTGCTGCTCCCCCCTGCTTGTGCTCTCTCTCTCTCTGTCAAATAAATAAATAAATAAAATCTTTAAAAAAATCAAGAGGTTTAACATCAAAATTCAATTTCCAGATTAAAAAAAAATCTGAAATTGGTGGTACTAAATTCTCATGTAATCAAAAATTGGCCGGATCTTGTCCTCTCTCTTTAGATGGAATCTGCTTTCTCTAACTAGCTAGAGTCCACACAGCCAGCTTAATTTCACCTGCCAACCACTGGCAGGCAGAAAAAAATAACACGCATACACCCTCATTCTCCATTTCTGACTCAGAAGATTATATATCCTTTATATTCTTTATATAATAAAACCTCAATTCCCATTTAACTGTTCAGCTCTGCTGTGGTCAGACTTATACTCTGTTATTACTAAAATCCATAACTATTAGAAGGGCACTTGGGTGGTTCAGTCGGTTAAGCGTCTGCCTTTGGCTCGGGTCATGATCCCAGGGTTCTGGGATCGAGCCCCACATGGGGCTCCCTGCTCAGCGGGGAGCCTGCTTCTCCCTCTCCCTCTGCTTGCTGCCCCCTCTGCTTGTGCTCTCTTTCTCTGTGTCTTTCAAAAAAAATAAAACAAAATCCATAACTATTAGACAAAACTTACTTTTCACTGAGGATCCCTGACTACAAATGACTGCTATAGGGAATACTATGTTCAGGCGAATAAAATCATGGAGATTTGTGTTTTGTTTTCACTTACTTTTCCTCAATAAAATTCTAAAATCAAGGTTTATCTTTGGGGAGACAGAACAGAGAAAACAAGACAAAACAGAAGACTTGAGAGCAGGGGGATGTGGATCAGATAGATGTCAGAGAATAGGGAGCATCACTGAAAGAACACAAGCACATAAATCCCAGCTTTTTTCCACAGTTCTATCCTAGTCCCTCAGATAGGTAGATAGATGGATGGATAGATAGATAGATAGGTAGATAGATAGATAGATAGATAGATAGATAGATAGATAGATAGATAGATAGATAGGAGCAGCCCGAACTTGCACTGCTAGTAAGATTTGTAGTTAGGATTTAAACTCAGAGGCGCTTGGGTGGCTCAGCCAGTTAAGCATCTGCCTTTGGCTCAGGTCCTGATCCCTGGGGTCCTGAGATTGAGCCCCAAGTTGGGCTCCCTGCTCAGCGGGGAGTCTGCTTCTCCCTCTCCCTCTGCTCCTCCCCTCTGCTCATGCTTGCTCTCTCTCTCTCAAATAAATAAATAACATCCTTAAAAAAAATAAACTCCAATCTGCCTAGCTAAAAAAACCAAAAACCAAAAACCAAAAAAACAACACTTCATGTATTATACTATGGAATATAATACAGCAATAAAAAAATAAGTACATCAATGAATACTAACATGGAAAGATGGATGCCCCAGATTTTTTTGAAATAAAAGAACCACTTCAAATTAGCACATACAGTAGAACAAATTTCTTGGACAGAAAAACAAATCTTATAAATGTTCACATAGTCAGATGGCTTCACCGGGGAAATCTACCAACATTTAAATAATAATTAAACACTTCACAAACTCTTCCCAAAAAATGGAAGAGAAAGGAACACTTCCCAACTCATTCTCTGAGGCCAGTATTAATTATCCTGTGTTATCAGTCAGGGTTCAACTAGAGAAACAGAACCAGGAGGAGATAGATACTAAGAGATTTATTGCAATTGGCACATGCGATTGTGGGAACTGTCCAGGCAAGTCCGAATCGTAGGGCAGCCGTGAGAAGAGGAAGGCTGGTGTTCTTGGGCAACTGGTGAAGCTGCTCTCCACAGGCAGAATTTGTTCTCTTCAGAGAAGTCTCAGCTCTACTCTTCAAGCCTTAATTGATTGAATTAGGCTTACTGAGGCTATCTAGGATAATCTCCCCTACTTCAAGTCAACTGATAAGGATTTTACTTGTGTCTAAAAGATACCTTAAAAATATCAGCAATACCTCTATTAGTGGTTGAGTAACTGAGTCTCTAGCCTAGGCAAGCTGCACATAAGACTGACCATCACACCCTGATGCCCAAACCAGACAGATAGTTCAAGAAAAGAAAACTATTTTTTTTTTTTTAAGATTTATTTGCTTATTTGAGAGAGAGAGACTGAGGAGGAGACGGTCAACCGACTGAGCCACCCAGCTGCCCCCTAATAGGCTTCTTTTTAAAGGTGACGAAAATGTTCTGGAATGAAATAGTGGTGATGGTTGTACAACATTGTGAATGTATTTTAAAAAATTGGATTTTACCTTTTTTTTAATTTTACATTTTAAAAAAGTGAATTCTATGGTTTATAATTTATATCTCAATTTTTTAAAGCACTCACATGACCTAGGATTTCACACCCCACTACGGTGAAATTGCATAGATGTATTAAAAAATAATTGAAATTTAAGTTCAAGTTGTTAACTCTATTTTAAAATTTGCAATTTCAAATTTGTGGAATTCAAATCATTAGTTACATCATTTTCCCCTCTCTATCATTTCTGCACATGATATAAACATACTATAATTATTATCAGGTTAGGAAAACAAAAACACATCTCTCTTGAATCACACATCCCTCTACTGCTTCCACCCCACGTCTGTATTTTTTTTCATAGCAAAACTCTTTGAAAGATATCTCTGGGGGCGCCTGGGTGGCTCGGTCGTTGGGCGTCTGCCTTCGGCTCGGGTCGTGAGTCCGGGGGTCCTGGGATTGAGCCTCGCGTCGGGCTCCCGGCTCGGCCAGGAGCCTGCTTCTCCCTCTCCCACTCCCCTGCTTGT